CTCTGGGCTCTCACATTGTCCCAGTATTTATTCTGAGCACCCAGAAGGTCTATGGAGAAGAGACTGTGAGTAGATGTGAATTTCCCTTGTGTTTGAAGATCACACAAGTTCCTTACTGCTAACTAAGCCACATTCAGACTTTAGACAATTATTGACAATTTTGGGGTGAATTCTTACTGATTCGCAAGGGGTCTCCTACCTGCTCCAGAAAGCAAGTGCTTGCGTTCTGTCACTCCTTGGAGGCACTTTACTGTCTCTAGGTTTGGGATTAATCTGTCACCCTATGACCTCAGCTCTCCGAGGAGTTTAATAGCATTTCTAAGTTCGCATATTACTTAGGATGTTTATTGCTTTACATTTGGGAATGATGCCCTTTCTAGCTTTGGCCATCTTCAGTGGAAGCTGGAAGTCTGATATACACAATCTTAAAAATTTCTCAAATATCCTGTAGAGCAGCTGGAGATTTTCAGAGGTTAAGCAACTCTTCTGTGTGCAGGAGATTTGAAGCAGTTCTTTCCTAACCATACACTCCAGTCCTTTCCACATTGCTGTTCTTATTCCTGTGTAGACTGATGGTGTGTTAACTATTGACTCTCCAAGGCAGAGTTTATATTCCTCTTTTTACCTATTCCTCAATGTAGATTTAGACACTAGTTCAGAAAAATACTGGGTAAGATGAGGGGGAGAATGATGGTGGAGCAGTTTATCACTGTGGGTACCAGGCCTCCTCTCATCTCTCTCTCAGAAGTTTCAAATTCGGATGCCTGTAGGAGCCAGGCAAGAAACATCAATGAGTAAAGTGTGCTGGGTCTATGTGGGCTCTCGTTTTCCTTGACACTCGTGGCCCTGCTTTTGTTAGTGACAGAGGAAAATCTTTCTTTATAAGAGAAACAGCAGTGCAAGCTAAGGATTGGCAGAGTTTTTAAAATTGGGGCATACATTGTGAGGGCTCCTGGACACGTCTTAGAGCCACCCATGAATATTACCCATCTGCCTTGAGATCACTTCATTCAACATTACCTAAATATTTTTCAAGCACCCACTGCTTCTGAGGCTCTGCTCTTCATTCCAAGGGTGTAGCAATAACTAAAACGACTCCTTAAAGGAAAGGACATTTTGGTTTGTGGTCTGCAGTAGGGAGGATGGGACCTGTGGGCCTGGAGAGTATTGCTTGAAAAACATGCTGCCGCCACTCACCTCTGGCCAATTGCTGCCAACCGTGAACGCTGACCCTGTGTTGCCAAAGCTTTTAATTTTCCAAGACAAATCAGAAATTGGATTTCTATTTTAAGTGGCAACTTTCTTATTTTTAAACATTGGCTCAACATTTTAAAAATCACTGTGGAGGTTAAACAAAATGTGTCTGCAGACAGAATCTGGCTTGCGACCTCTGTTAAACACCATCTCTGCCCTTGCTGGTCTGCTTGAGAAGAGAAATGCAATGAAACGACAGCTATAGCCATGTTAATTCCCTTCTTTGGAAGCAATGAACCAGTCGTCAGAGATTTGGCAATTCCAGGGCTTAATTTGCAATATAAGGCCAACAATTTCAGTGAAAGCCGTTTTAAAGTCAGCCTTCAAATCAACAAACAACAAAATGACTACACAAATCAGCAGTGCTTATTAACCTGGAATCAAGAGAGTGTGGCCAACAGGTTACTTGCAAGCAGGGGATACTGCAGTTATTAATCTGCTTGCAAGTTGGAGATTGGCTTTTAGAAAATGATCCCTGTTGTAGGCCCTTGCATTTCTATAAACGTGCTACACTGTCATCCAAACCTGCAGCCGCAGTGTGAGTTTTGCAATGGTGCCCGTTTGTTTATTTATTAAGTCTAGAGTTCTTGATAAAGCCTAAGGTTATTATTATTATTGTTTTTGGTAAATTTATAGTGTTTATAATTTAGTTTTCTTTTTTTTTTTTTTAACTCTAGCTACTTTGGACTTTTTTTTTTTTTTGACAGTGAAGGTCTTTTTTTTTTTTTTTTTGAGACAAAGTGCTCTTGCTCTGTCGCCCAGGCTGGAGTGCAGTGGCTCAGTCTCGACTCACTGCAACCCACACCTCCCAGGTTCAAGTGATTCTCCTGCCTCTGCCTCCCGAGTAACTGGGATTACAGGCATGCACCACCATGCCTGGCTAATTTTTGTATTTTTAGTAGAGACAAGGTTTCACCGTGTTGGCCAGGCTGGTCTCAAACTCCTGACCTCAGGCAATCCACTTAGCCTCTCAAAGTGCTGGGATTACAGGTGTGAGCCACTGCGCCTGGCCAACAGTGAAGGTATTATAGATAGTTTAGCAAATGAATTCATTTTCTGATTGGCTTCATATTTTGCCAGTTACTCGAGCCATAGGTTTTTTGTGTTTTAAAAGGAATGTGGTAGCTGATCATTAATAATCACTAATTTGTTGAAATTATTACGTACTGACAGATTCTCCTCATTGCTCTGTGAACTTCTTGTTCTCATTTTCTTCACCACTCTTTGCTCACGTGTTTCTTCCATTTCCCTTTTCCCGTTTGACTGTTTGTCTATTCCTCAAAGTTCACTCTGCTGCCTGTGCACAAATTTACGCGGTCTTTGCATCCTCCGTGCTGATCCAGCTCCTCTGGCCTCTGGAACCCAGCCTCATACCTCTTCTTTATCCCCACCACTTGCCAGAACTCCTTAGCAGCTGAAAGGCTGTTTTCCACCTTTTAACAATTCTTTCCCACTTTTGAGGTCTTTGAACTAAGCCCTGAGGAGTTGCACGGGAGCCACATTTTCATGTGTCAGTATATCCATTACAGCCAACAGCTTGCCAAATCTGTTCATGCTCTAAAGTCAGGTCACATGTTTACTGGTTTTCCTTGGCTCAGGATGGGTCATTTGCTTTTCATAACCCATGTTCTGCTGGTTGTCCCCCATTTGTGAGGGTCTGACTACAACCCCCACATTCTAGCTCATACAAACTCAGTGACTGACATGCTTTATTGAAATAACGCTTAATAGAACCTGTCAGAGATTCCTAAGTGAGGAGGCACCCTGGGCCACTCCCGTTGTTCCTGAGACCGGGCGATAGACAGCTGTATGCCTCCCCGGGTGACAGCAGCTTTTTAAAATGATACAACACTCACTTCTCTCAGGCTGCCTTCTGGATTCAACTCTACATTTTGTCTGAGATAATGAGGAATTTTGATCTTATTTTACAATTATATTGGGTCTTACTCTACTGAGACTGTATTCTGAATATTTGTGCAGAAAGGCATTTAAAATGCAGCCTTCTAGGAAGGAAGACAAGTAGTCTGCCTTATTTGAAGTTTCTTAAACATTCTGTTTATGTTAATAGAGGTAACCTGGGCTTTTTGGCTTGTACACCTTGGGTTATATGTCTGCAAAATAAATTTATGATGACAATTAACATGAGCAATGTTACAACTTACAAACATTTTCAAAGACAGGTACTAACTATTAGATTAAGACCAAATTCAAGGGAAAAAAATTCTGCTCCACATATATTCCTAGAAATAGATTCTTTAGAATTACTCTTCAGTCACTGTGCTGTGGAAAACACAAGCAAGTCAAACTTCAATTTCTGCCAATTATTTAAATTTTTTAAATCTTGACACTGGTTTTTTCTTTTAAATACTTTCACATGTGTTTCACTTATTTTAGGAAGTAATTCAATATAATCTTTAAAACTTTTAGGTTACTTTTAATAAAAAAGTAGGAGTTTTTAAATTAGCACTAGAAGGACTAAAATCTTGCATTTTTCAACATCGATACTGTTCAAAATCTCATTACACTTTGTGAAGTAATTTTTGAAAACAATAATAGATAGCTCTGAATAAAAATAGTGTCACGTGTATCATTCATACACAATGGGCTTTATTTTACTGCCAAGCACTGATAACATTTCAAAAGGGCAAACTTCGAGTTTAAAGTTTAAAAGACTCTTTTTTTTTTTTTTTTTTTTTTTTTTTTTGTGAGACAGGGTCTGGCTCTGTTACCCAGGCTAGAGTGCAGTGGCACGATGTCACCTCACTGCAACCTCTGCCTCACAGGCTCAAGTCAGCTTCCCATCCCAGCCTCCCATCTCAGCCTCCCAAGTAGCTGGGACTCCAGGCATGTGCCACCATGCCTGGCTATTTTTTATATTTTTTGTAGAGATAGGTGTCTGACTATATTGCCCAGGCTGGTCTCAAACTCCTGAGCTCAAGCAATCCACCCACCTTGGCCTCCCAAAGTGCTAGGATTACAAGGGTGAGCCACCATATATGGCCTAAAAGATTATTCTGGTGAACGTTTACAATAATTTAATAAATGCTGGGATCATCACTCAATAAAAAAATTTCGGTTATTTCTAATTATCTGGGCCCAGACTGTGTTCTGGTGTAGTATTCTGTCAATTAAAGTAATATCAAATGTAATAGTTTGTGGATTGACCTTAATAATTTATTGTATGACTTTAAGGAATTTTAAAAATGAGTGTTAAAACCACATTTCCTTTTATTGTAATTTCTATATTTTATATTTTTGCTGGATGATGTTCTCAGGGTTTAATCTGCTTAGTCCCTCAGTACACATATTTATCATTGACTTTATCAGATATTATCTACTTAAGACTGTTGCAAACCTGGATCACAACTTTTAAATGATAAACAGCACAGACACCTAAGGTATGCAGCAGCAAGCTGTCATTGTAACTTCAATGCAATCTGAATTTGTCACTTTTGGGGAATAAAATAGGACATTTAAGCCATCTCAATCAAATCTGAAGTTTTCCTAGAGATTGCCTTTGTAAAACATTTTGAGAATGCTGACTGACCCTCAGTTTATTAGGAGTCTGGCTTAAGAAACGAGCAACAACAATAAAAGTAAGACACTAGCTTATATCCTGTTGACTTTATACTTAGATTTTTCGGAACCATTAAGTAGCACTGTAGCTCTCCAGTCTCACATTGTTTAACATAGTTCATGGTTGGGTCTATTTACCTTGGTTTTTAAATATTATTTTTCTTTTTTAGGGAAACTGGATTGAAATCTGCGCATTGCCAAGGACAAGAAGCTGAGAACATGGAGAGAGAGGTAAGATCGATGTCACAGTAGGCCCCTCCTTAATTTTCTTCCTTTAAAAGCAAGGCTTTCAAGCTTGACTTTTCGTTATCCATGGATGGAAAGTATAGAAGTGAGTAGAAATGTAACCTCCTTTGTAGCACTCACCAGTAAAGAGGCTGATTAACGAGTGTAGCAGGCAATGTCGTAGCAAAAGAGAGTCTACGGAAGAGAAACAAAAGTGCCTCAGAATTCGCAAGGATTCTCATGATCCATAGTAGGGCCTCACGGTGCCTGTCTGCTCTTTCTATTTTTGATTAGATTTATAAACACAGCAGCACATATTTTCATGTGGCTTATCGCCTAGGGGCACAATCAGATTGGCTGCACTGAAACTGTGAGGCTTGTGAATTTTGGGCAAGGGCTAGAGTGAAATAAGTAGTGTAATTGTTTTTGTGGAGTGACCGTGGGACCTCCTCTGTTCTGAATTACACATGGCTCAACCCTTTGACCTGACCAGACTCTGCAAAGGCTGGCAGGACTCCTAACGCTGTGCTGAAAGGGTCGTCGCTGAACAAGCTGGAACGTTATCTGTCAGGCCAGATGTGGGCCAACAACTAGATTCAAATATATTAATTACTAGTGGGACACATTTGCGACCACTTCGACTTCACTTAACCCGTCATCATATAAGTTATTATTTCAACAGGAAGTGCCAATGCGGGGAATGTTTAGAATCCAAATGTAGCACAGATCCTTTGATAAATAGATTATTAGGCTATTTTTTTTTTTTTTAGTTTACTAAATTTTGGATCATCTTTGAGAATATTTTGCCTAATAATTCAAACATTATTATTTTGAGTCTTTTAATATCCCCAGGTTTGGGGGGAATGCCATAAGCCATGATTAAAACTCTTTCATCTCAACGAGTTTAATTCTTTCAAAATAGATGGTAATCCACTGATATAATTCCTTGAAAGAATCAAAGCTGGGGGAATGCAGAGAACTGGGAAAAGATTTGGGAGAATCATAGGTGCTGACATTTGTGCAATTGTGGAGAATTCATTCTGTGATTCACATGCTGATGAGTTGGATAAAGATGTTTATATCTATCTAGGTATGATTTTGAAGTGACGCCCTTGAATTTTTGTTTCGGATTCAGTAGCTTAAATTTTCAAAGGCAATCCAAGCAGAAATCTCAAGTTTATTTTTAGGCCCTTGACATTATTACCAAAACTAGTTCTAATTCTGGAATATGCCTAAAATTTTTTTAAATTTAGTTTCTTTCCTTGCCAATGTTATAAAGTAAAGGTCTCTGTAGGTATTTTATGTTTATACTCACATGCAAATAATATAGCATTTAAATTTTTGCTTTCTTATCTGAGGCAACTCAGGCTGAATATTAATTCACTTCTTAGTTACATGACACTTAAAATTTTCTTTGAAGAGTACACAACTTTATATGTGTGTGTGTGTGTGTGTGTGTGTGTGTGTGTGTGTGTGTGTGTGTGTTTTGAATTGTATTTTTCTTTTACTCCAGGGACTCTAAACATGAAAATGGAGAGGTCCTCATCAAATCAGTTACAAAAAAAAAAAAACACTCAAATATCCTATAAGCCCCCCAACAAAACTGCATTCAGCCCTACCCAGTCTTACTCTCATTAGCAGTGAAGGGTTTGCTCTCCACACAATCTAACATGGAATGCTTAGAGCAGACAGGTGCAAATTGCAAGCTGTTTCACTTTGGCTGTTATCCCTTGAATCGACAAAGTAATAGACTGGGAGAACAAAAAAGGTTCCAGCTCAAGCTGCATAAATGAAAGTCTTAACAGGGACACACCAGCTGGCTGGGAGAGTTCAATGTAGTGAATACTAAACATTACCTTTGTGCCACTTGCCAAGGAAAAGGGCTTCAGTGACACCCCCTCCCTTTGATGATTGAGATGATGTGCCTTCAAAATCGTATTTTGCTTTATTGTAAAGGCGATACTGTGGCCGAAGTGCATGAGAACGGGATCCAACATACCTGTTCCTGTAATGTTGCCATCATTACACTCCTCCGAGCGATTCAGGCATGATTAGGTTCCTGGAGTGGGACCAGATTGACAGTATTTCTATCCATGTCTTTTTTGGCTGATCCAAGCAAAGCCCCAGAGCAGTGAAACAAGAAAACACAATCACTAGCACCCCCGCCTCCCCAGCAAGATGAATCTGCTGAGCTAGGCTGCTGAAAAAAACAGTCGTTCATATTAGGAACACCTAATTTCATTTCATGGAAGAGCCATGCCACGCCGGTATGCGTAGGAATCTAAGGTATGCGTATCCAAAAAGAGACCCTAACTCTGTCATCCCAAAGTTGCTTCTCTTTGTGACTTCCCAGTGTGCACAGGAACTGTTGTCTGCAAGAAGCAACTTTCACTTGAGCTCTGAGGCCACCGACTTGGTCTGACCCGGCAGATAAGGGTAGGAAGAAAACTGGAGCTGGCCTTGTTTACAGCCGGACAGAAGAAAACAGCCAGACACAAATGAGGGGTGACGGTTTCATGAAGCACAATTGGTTGATCCCAGATGCAATCTGACTGCCCTGAACTGAGCGATGATCCGTACAGTATGCAGAATTCACTTTCTTGCTGGTCTGTGCCCACCAGCCTTGGAGGAATGCTCCCCGCGCCCCTCAGCCGTGGCTTTGAGTGCAACCAGAGCTGAACAACTGTACCGCGGGACCCGATTCCTTCTGACAACGATCACATTCTTTTAAAAACTTCATACGTTTTGGTTGTCACTGGTTATAAATGAGTTTGTTGTTGTTCATGTTTGCTACTCTATTGTAGATTTCCTTTCAAGTTAAGAGTGTCCGCATCAAAAGGTATTTGTTGCTTTTTAACGAAAAGGAAATTATTATCAGAAACTGTCAGTTCTTAAAAATTTCAGGTTTTCAGGGGTTTTTTCTGTTCAAATCACAAAATATTGTTTCTTCCACATTATTGAATATATTTAATAGGGCAACATTACTAAAATTATTAAAAGGAACTGATTTAGCACCACTTAAACACACATATAAATACATTACTTTTCAGTTATTCAAGATGAGTAAGTTCTAGGGATCCGTGGTCCGGCATCGTGCTGACAGTTAACACTGCAGTGATGAAACTTGCATTAAGAGGGTGGATCTCATGTTATCTGCTCTTATTGAAATAAAAAATGCTTTAAAAGTGTTTCCCTTTAGACAGTTACTTTGCGTTATAGCTGCTAAACAGAAGCACAAAGGCGGAAGCCACGAAGCCTATCCATAGTAGATTTATTAATAGTTAAGATTTCTAGAGATTTTGCTGATCTCCAAAACTGAATAGATATCATTGAGAAGCAGGAAGATGCTGGTGATGAAATTTTATTTTTTTAATTTAATTTTTGACATACATTATAGGAATTTAGTAAGTTAATATGAACTTATTAAAATGCTAACATTCGCCTAAATACACTAAGTTAACTACTGGTAATGAATGAATTGATGTAAAATATGAGTGAAGGATGATTTTGCATGAGCTAGAGAGATAAAAATCTCATCAGGAAAGAGAGACTCTCAATTGAGAAGGGGGTGGAGGAAATGCAATTTACACCACTTAAATGTGCCCATGTGTAAAGGAGAGAAAACGGTGAGGAAATTGGCAAAAGAGAGAAGTCGGAAATCACTCCTAATTTCCTCTTGAACATATGTTAGTAGTAAAGAGGTCACAAAATACAAACCACCGCTTGGTGATCCTCTCAAAGAATTATTCTCTGGTGTGTACAGTCAGACATTGCTTTCCTTTTGAATATGGGAACTTGTGAAAATATGTTTGAGACCTTTATAACATTGAGAGCAAGTCCATAATTTCATTTGAAGTCCTTAGTAAGGAAATGAGGTCTATTAATAGGCCACATCCATCTATTTAAAAGCATGTTTAACTCGGTCTGAAAGGAGTGAAGTGCCAAAATTACTGAACCATGTCAAGAAAACTAATATCTGCTGTTTCCTCAGCTGAAGGCTATGAAAAAAACAGACTTCAACCTCTTTCTTAATAAAATGAAGGAAAATTTAGTGCAGTTGTGAACTACTCTTTTAAAAAGTTTACCAAGTTTTTAATGCATGTAGTCTTATTTATTTATTTATTTATTTATTTATTTATTTATTTATTGAGATGGAGTCTCGCTCTGTCACCCAGGCTGGAGTGCAGTGGCACGATCTCGGCTCGCTGCAAGCTCCGCCTCTTGGGTTTACACCATTCTTCTGCCTCAGCCTGTAGCTGGGACTACAGGCGCCCGCCACCACACCCAGCTAATTTTTTGTATTTTTTAGTAGAGACGGGGTTTCACCATGTTAGCCAGGATGGCCTTGATCTCCTGAACTTGTGATCTACCCGCCTTGGCCTCCCAAAGTGCTGGGATTACAGATGTGAGCCACTGCACCGGGCCTTATTTTTTTATATTAAAACAGAGCAAATATGTAAATTAGTGGGTTTTTTTTATTGTTATTTACAGCATACATCCTAATGCATTTCTAGCATACATTTTAACACTATGCATCTAAGCAATTTTTGGAGTTTGTATCAGATTGTGAAACAACCTCCTAGATGTTATTTATACCTTTTAAATTAGAGCAGTTGTGCAGAATACACCACTATATGGGTATAAACTGAAGCATTAGAAACTTAGAATTCTTTAATGAAGAAAACATGTTTTAAAAATTATTAGACTTTTGTCCAAATAAAATTCTTTATGCATTTTCCTTAAAAGAAAATGCTCACTGCAAGGTCCGCCTCCTGGGTTCATGCCATTCTCCCTCCTCAGCCTCCTGCGTAGCTGGGACTACAGGCGCCCGCCACCACGCCAAGCTAATTTTTTGTAGATTTAGTAGGGACGGGGTTTCACCGTGTTAGCCAGGATGGTCTGGATCTCCTGACCTCGTGATCCGCCCGCCTCGGCCTCCCAAAGT